CTCGTTTTTCAAATTCAATCGAGGCGGGATATTACATATGAATCGACTAATAATTCATATTATATACCTTAGTGAATTGATTTTTCTATAGTTAGTAATCACCTGCTTATAATGTCAAGATGATCCTCTCAATTTTTTGTGAAAAATAAAAAAAAAAAAAGCTATAAAATTGAAAGTTCTTTGCCCAATGTCAGTTCAAATAAAAAATGCTCTAATTTGATTTAATAACTAAAAATAATAGATGCAAATCTGAATGACTACTTATTATCTGTGTCAAATTTAATGATTGAGTTTATTTATTCATTCGAAAATTCCAGTTCAATATATAATTTTAAAAATTTCACATTAATTATGTATGTCAGAAATTTTGAAATAATCTGACATTCTACTTCTTGTCATTTATTTTTAGCCATGAAAATTGAACTATAATTCCTGTAATATACACATCCATATGTCATTATATATTATGGACCCTTGATGATAATGGTCAAGAAAAACGAATAAATCTGATGAATAATGAACAAAATAACTGTTTTTTTAGCTGGCAGATTTTTTATAGTAACAAACGGGAGTCATTATTCATTCTCCTTTATTTTTGAGATGGGAAGATATCATTGCAGCATTATATACTCATCAATTGGTAACTTATGTTATGGGATCATTTGAAAAAAATTATTAGTAATGTTTATTAATTAGATGCTTCATTTATAAAAAAGCTGTCTTGTTCTAGTCTTTATTCCAAGTTTGGCAATTAAAGATTTAGTTGCACAACAAGAATTTCACATGAAAAACAATCCTAGATGAGTAATTTCACTTGTTGAAAGATAATTTATAAGTAATTTTAAAAAGTGTGTTTAAAGCATAAAATTTAATTTATTCTCCGAATTTTTTTAATTTTCAGCCAAAGAAATAATAACGACTACCGCAACAAACAACACAGCAATGACAGCTAAGACACAGAGAACTGCAACAAGGGCGGTCTTCTTTTTAGCTTCCTTTGTAGCAATCTTTCCTGTTGCAGAATCACTTGCGATAAAACATCTTGATAGATGTTGATATTTGTTAATTTTTCAGAGGATTCGTTGGTGTTGTGACTACGATCTTGATTTCGGCTGTTGTGTTTGTTTCTGTTGTTGGGATGGTGAAAATCAAGTGGGAACTCTGACTAATCCTGCATCGTTAGTTGATGTGATCGTCTTCTTGACTTTATCGTTGTAGAACAGAGAACAGTGAACTTGTTATCGAAGTTTGTATCTGGATCATTGATGACAGCTGTGAAGTTGACCTTGTCGCCTTTGTTGTATGTGGCATTAAGTTTTTGGTTCGAAATATAGATTGTGAGAACTGTGTTATTCTTGATTGTGATTGTGAACTTCTTTTGTTCCAATCTTCTTGCCATCTGTAGCTGTGACTTTGACTTCATATTCACCTGCTGCTGTGTCTTTTGGAACTTTGAATTTGAATGTCTTAAGATCTTTGCTGTTTGCAACTTCTTGTGTTGCAACTTCTGCATTGTTGAAGAAAACTCTTTGCTGTGAGTTGTTTATCACCTGAATCTTGAATCGTAGACTGAAGCCAAGAAAGAAACTTCAAGAATCTGGAATGTAATATAGGTATTCAGATGGAACAATGTATAACTTTGGTCTATAATTTGGTGGAACAACTGTAATTGTGAATTCTTCATAAAGCAATGAGCCAAGACCATTAGTTAGTATATGTGTAAACATATAATGTGTACTTCCAAGTTCTGTTGGTGGTGTGATTGACACATCAAAATCCTTACTTGTTGTTTTTCTGAAACTGTAAATTTGCCAAGGCTGCCATATTTGATTATCTTATCTTTTTGAATCATGAATTTCCAACCTGCTTCTACCGTGTATGGTTCAACTAAGAAATAAAAAACTTCCCTTTACTTGAATTACTTCAGTGGAATCTGTTTCTTCTGAAATCAGAGATTTATCAAGTTTAAGTAATGGCGGTTGATATTCTCTTCATAAAACATGTAAGAAAGTGTGATAGAACTTTCCTGGTTGGATATACTGTGTGAGCCATGAAATGAGATCCATTGAATTCAGGAAATCCAAGTCGTGTATTCTAAAATTTTCTCATTGTTCGTGAAGAATCTTGGCTCAGGTTCTATTCCAAAGTCTTGGGCACTGATATCTGTAACCCAAGGATGATTGCAGAACTAGTGTCAGACTATTTGTTTGATCCCACCAAAGATAATAACCAAAGTTTTGTAAAGGGATGATGCTTCTAACATTATCTATAGAATCTTTTAAATTCAATGCTGTGCAAAGGGTCAATTTTCTTTCCGTTGAGCCTTTGTTGGTAATTGTCTGTGAAATAATAACCAATTCTGAATTTTCATCATTATAAATTTCAACGGAGTAGCCCTAAATCAGTGGCTTCTTTAATGTTTTTTTGTAAACACCATCTATTCTGACTTTTGTATAAGGTTCTTTAATTATTTCATAATTCTCCCTTCCGTCCTTATCATAAATCAATGTACGAATTATCCCCAACAACTTTGCCTGAAACTGAAAGAGAAAGTTGTGCAAGTAATATGGAAAACATTTAAAAAAATGGTAAAATGATTTTATAAAAGTATTCAAATATAAATAATTTCAGAAGAACATTTTGAGTCGTTTTTCAAAGTCATCTATACATATGAATCGATAATATTTCATTTATTATACCTTATGATTGATTTTCTATAGTTATAATCACCTTGTATAATGTCAAGATGATCCTCTCAATTTTTTTGTGAAAAAATAAAAAATAAAAAAGCTATAAAATTGAAAGTTCTTTGCCCAATGTCAGTTCAAATAAAAAATGCTCAATTTGGATTTATAACTAAAAAATAAGATGCAAATCTGAATGACTACTTATTATCTGTGTCAAATTTAATGATTGAGTTTATTTATTCATTCGAAAATTCCAGTTCAATATATAATTTTAAAATTTCACATTAATTATGTATGTCAGAAATTTTGAAAATAATCTGACATTCTACTTCTTGTCATTTATTTTTTAGCCATGAAAATTGAACTTATAATTCTGTATATACACATCCATATGTCATTATATATTGATGGACCTTGATAGTTGAAACTCGCATAAATAAAATTCTGATGATGTAATGAAGACAAAGATAAACTCGTGGTTTCTTTTTTTAAGCTGGCAGATTTTTTATAGTAACAAAACGGAGTCATTATTCATTCTCCTTTATTTTTGAGATGGGAAGATATCATTGCGAGCATATTACTCATCAATTGGTAACTTATGTTTATGGGATCATTTGAAAACAATTTATTAGTAAATGTTTATTAATTAGATGCTTCATTTATAAAAAAGCTTGTCCTTGTTCTATGATCTTTATTCCAAGTTGGCAATTAAGATTTATGTTGCAACAACAAGAATTCACATTGAAAAAACAATCCTAGATGAGTAATTTCAACTTGTTGAAAGATTAATTATAAGTAATTTTAAAAAGTGTGTTTAAAGCATAAAATTTAATTTATTCTCCGAATTTTTTATTTTCTCAGCCAAAGCAATAATAACGACTACCGCAACAACAACAGCATGACAGCTAAGAACAGAGAACTCAGACAAGGGGCGGTCTTCTTTTTAGCTTCCTTTGTAGCAATCTTTCCTGTTGCAGAATCACTTGCGATAACATCTTGATAGATGTTGATATTTGTTAATTTTTCAGAGGATTCGGTTGGTGTTGTGACTACGATCTTGATTTCGGCTGTTGTGTTTGTTTCTGTTGTTGGGATGGTGAAATCAAGTGGAACTCTGACTAATCCTGCATCGTTAGTTGATGTGATCGTCTTTCTTGACTTTATCGTTGTGAACAGAGAAACAGTGAACTTGTTATCGAAGTTTGTATCTGGATCATTGATGACAGCTGTGAAGTTGACCTCTGTCGCCTTTTGTTGTATGTGGCATTAAGTTTTGGTTCGAAATAGATTGTGAGAACTGTGTTATTCTTGATTGTGATTGTGAACTTTCTTTGTTCCAATCTTCTTGCCATCTGTAGCCGTGACTTTGACTTCATATTCACCTGCTGCTGTGTCTTTTGGAACTTTGAATTTGAATGTCTTAAGATCTTTGCTGTTTGCAACTTCTTGTGTTGCACTTCTGCATTGTTGAAGAAAACCTTTGCTGTGAGTGGTTTATCACCTGAATCTTGATCGTAGACTGAAGCCAAAGAAAGAAACTTCAGAATCTGGAATGTAATATAGGTATTCAGATGGAACAATGTATAACTTTGGTCTATAATTTGTGGAACAACATGTAATTGTGAATTCTTCATAAAGCAATGAGCCAAGACCATTAGTATATGTGTAAACATCTAATGTGTACTTTCCAAGTTCTGTTGGTGGTGTGATTGACACATCAAAATCCATACTTGTTGTTTTTTCCTGAAACTGGTAAATTTGCCAAGGCTGCCATATTTGATTATCTTATCTTTTGATCATGAATTTCCCAACCTGCTTCTACCGTGTATGGTTCAACTAAGAAATAAAACTTCCCTTTACTTGAATTACTTCTAGTAGGAATCTGTTTCTTCTGAAAATCAGAGATTTATCAAGTTTAAGTAATGGCGGTGATAATGTCTCTTTCAATAAAACATGTAAAGAAAGTGTGAGATAGACTTTCCTGGTTGGATATACTTGTTGAGCGCATGAGAAATGAATCCGATCATTGAATTTGCCAGGAAATCCAGAGTCGTATTCTAAAATTTCTCATTGTTCGTGAAGAATCTTGCTCAGGTTCTATATTCCAAAGTCTTTGGGCACTGATATCTGTAACCCGCGAATGATATTTTGCAGAACTAGTGTCAGAATCATTTGTTTTGATTCCCACCAAAGATAATAACCAAAGTTTGTAAGGGATGATGCTTCAACATTATCTATAGAATCTTTAAATTCAATGCTGTGCAAAGGTCAATTTCTTTTCCAGTTGCTCTTGTTGTATGCTCGTGAAAGTAGCAACTACTAATCGAAATTGTTCGCATTCACTTATGAATGATATCATCAACGTGATGCACGATAGCCTAATCAGTGGCCTTCTTTAATGTTTTTTGTCAACACCATCTATTCTGACTTTTGTATAAGGTTCTTTAATTATTTCATAATTCTCCCTTCCGTCCTTATCATAAATCATGTACGAATTATCCCCAACAACTTTGCCTGAAACTGAAAGAGAAAGTTGTGCAAGTAATATGGAAAACATTTAAAAAAATGGTAAAATGATTTTATAAAAGTATTTCAAATAATAAATATTCAGAAACATTTTGAGTCGTTTTTCAAAGTCATCTATACATATGAATCGATAATATTTCATATTATTATACTATATGATTGATTTTCTATAGTTATAATCACCTTGTATAATGTCAAGATGATCCTCTCAATTTTTTGTGAAAAAATAAAAAATAAAAAAGCTATAAAATTGAAAGTTCTCTTGCCCAATGTCAGTTCAAATAAAAAAATGCTCAATTTGATTAATAACTAAAAAATAATAGATAGCAAATCTGAATGACTACTTATTAATCTGTGTCAAATTTAATGATTGAGTTTATTATTCATTTCGAAAATTCCAGTTCAATATATAATTTTAAAAATTTTCACATTAATTATGTATGTCAGAAATTTTGAAATAATCTGACATTCTACTTCTTGTCATTTATTTTTAGCCATGAAAATTGAACTATAATTCCTGTATATACACATCCATATGTCATTATATATTTGATGGACCCTTGATGATAATGTCAAGAAAAACGAATAAATCTGATGAGTAATGAGACAAAATAACTGTTTTTTAGCTGGCAGATTTTTTATAGTAACAAACGGGAGTCATTATTCATTCTCCTTATTTTTGAGATGGGAAGATATCATTGCAGCATTATATACTCATAATGGTAACTTATGTTATGGGATCATTTGAAAAAAAATTTATTAGTAATGTTTATTAATTAGATTGCTTCATTTATAAAAAAAGCTTGTCTTGTTCTATGATCTTTATTCCAAGTTGGCAATTTAAGACTAGGATTGTTTTTCATGTGAAATTCTTGTTGTGCAACTAAATCTTAATTGCCAACTTGGAATAAAGATCATAGAACAAGACAAGCTTTTTTATAAATGAAGCATCTAATTAATAAACATTACTAATAAATTTTTTTTCAAATGATCCCATAACATAAGTTACCAATTGATGAGTATATAATGCTGCAATGATATCTTCCCATCTCAAAAATAAAGGAGAATGAATAATGACTCCCGTTTGTTACTATAAAAAATCTGCCAGCTAAAAAAACAGTTATTTTGTCTCATTACTCATCAGATTTATTCGTTTTTCTTGACATTATCATCAAGGGTCCATCAATATATAATGACATATGGATGTGTATATACAGGAATTATAGTTCAATTTTCATGGCTAAAAATAAATGACAAGAAGTAGAATGTCAGATTATTTCAAAATTTCTGACATACATAATTAATGTGAAATTTTTAAAATTATATATTGAACTGGAATTTTCGAATGAATAAATAAACTCAATCATTAAATTTGACACAGATAATAAGTAGTCATTCAGATTTGCATCTATTATTTTTAGTTATTAAATCAAATTGAGCATTTTTTATTTGAACTGACATTGGGCAAAGAACTTTCAATTTTATAGCTTTTTTATTTTTTATTTTTTCACAAAAAATTGAGAGGATCATCTTGACATTATACAAGGTGATTATAACTATAGAAAATCAATCATAAGGTATAATAATATGAAATATTATCGATTCATATGTATAGATGACTTTGAAAAACGACTCAAAATGTTTCTGAAATATTTATATTTGAATACTTTTATAAAATCATTTTACCATTTTTTAAATGTTTTCCATATTACTTGCACAACTTTCTCTTTCAGTTTCAGGCAAAGTTGTTGGGGATAATTCGTACATGATTTATGATAAGGACGGAAGGGAGAATTATGAAATAATTAAAGAACCTTATACAAAAGTCAGAATAGATGGTGTTACAAAAAACATTAAAGAAGCCACTGATTTAGGCTACTCCGTTGAAATTTATAATGATGAAAATTCAGATTATGTTATTATTTCACAGACAATTACCAACAAAGGCTCAACGGAAAAGAAAATTGACCTTTGCACAGCATTGAATTTAAAAGATTCTATAGATAATGTTGAAGCATCATCCCTTACAAACTTTGGTTATTATCTTTGGTGGGATCAAACAAATGATCTGACACTAGTTCTGCAAAATCATCCTTGGGTTACAGATATCAGTGCCCAAGACTTTGGAATAGAACCTGAGCCAAGATTCTTCACGAACAATGAGAAAATTTTAGAATACGACTCTGGATTTCCTGAAATTCAATGGATCTCATTCTCATGGCTCAACAAGTATATCCAACCAGGAAAGTCTATCACACTTTCTTACATGTTTATGAAGAGACATATCAACCGCCATTACTTAAACTTGATAAATCTCTGATTTCAGAAGAAACAGATTCCACTGAAGTAATTCAAGTAAAGGGAAGTTTTTATTTCTTAGTTGAACCATACACGTAGAAGCAGGTTGGGAAATTCATGATTCAAAAGATAAGATAATCAAATATGGCAGCCTTGGCAAATTTACAGTTTCAGAAAAACAAACAAGTATGGATTTTGATGTGTCAATCACACCACCAACAGAACTTGGAAAGTACACATTATATGTTTACACATATACTAATGGTCTTGGCTCATTGCTTTATGAAGAATTCACAATTACAGTTGTTCCACCAAATTATAGACCAAAGTTATACATTGTTCCATCTGAATACCTATATTACATTCCAGATTCTGAAGTTTCTTTCTTGGCTTCAGTCTACGATCAAGATTCAGGTGATAAACCACTCACAGCAAAGGTTTTCTTCAACAATGCAGAAGTTGCAACACAAGAAGTTGCAAACAGCAAAGATCTTAAGACATTCAAATTCAAAGTTCCAAAAGACACAGCAGCAGGTGAATATGAAGTCAAAGTCACAGCTACAGATGGCAAGAAGATTGGAACAAAGAAGTTCACAATCACAATCAAGAATAACACAGTTCTCACAATCTATTTCGAACCAAAACTTAATGCCACATACAACAAAGGCGACAAGGTCAACTTCACAGCTGTCATCAATGATCCAGATACAAACTTCGATAACAAGTTCACTGTTTCTCTGTTCTACAACGATAAAGTCAAGAAGACGATCACATCAACTAACGATGCAGGATTAGTCAGAGTTCCACTTGATTTCACCATCCCAACAACAGAAACAAACACAACAGCCGAAATCAAGATCGTAGTCACAACACCAACGAATCCTCTGAAAAATTAACAAATATCAACATCTATCAAGATGTTATCGCAAGTGATTCTGCAACAGGAAAGATTGCTACAAAGGAAGCTAAAAAGAAGACCGCCCTTGTTGCAGTTCTCTGTGTCTTAGCTGTCATTGCTGTTGTTGTTGCGGTAGTCGTTATTATTCTTTGGCTGAGAAAATAAAAAAATTCGGAGAATAAATTAAATTTTATGCTTTAAACACACTTTTTAAAATTACTTATAAATTATCTTTCAACAAGTTGAAATTACTCAATCTAGGATTGTTTTTCATGTGAAATTCTTGTTGTGCAACTAAATCTTAATTGCCAACTTGGAATAAAGATCATAGAACAAGACAAGCTTTTTTATAAATGAAGCATCTAATTAATAAACATTACTAATAAATTTTTTTTCAAATGATCCCATAACATAAGTTACCAATTGATGAGTATATAATGCTGCAATGATATCTTCCCATCTCAAAAATAAAGGAGAATGAATAATGACTCCCGTTTTTTACTATAAAAAATCTGCCAGCTAAAAAAACAGTTATTTTGTCTCATTACTCATCAGATTTATTCGTTTTTCTTGACATTATCATCAAGGGTCCATCAATATATAATGACATATGGATGTGTATATACAGGAATTATAGTTCAATTTTCATGGCTAAAAATAAATGACAAGAAGTAGAATGTCAGATTATTTCAAAATTTCTGACATACATAATTAATGTGAAATTTTTAAAATTATATATTGAACTGGAATTTTCGAATGAATAAATAAACTCAATCATTAAATTTGACACAGATAATAAGTAGTCATTCAGATTTGCATCTATTATTTTTAGTTATTAAATCAAATTGAGCATTTTTTATTTGAACTGACATTGGGCAAAGAACTTTCAATTTTATAGCTTTTTTATTTTTTATTTTTTCACAAAAAATTGAGAGGATCATCTTGACATTATACAAGGTGATTATAACTATAGAAAATCAATCATAAGGTATAATAATATGAAATATTATCGATTCATATGTATAGATGACTTTGAAAAACGACTCAAAATGTTTCTGAAATATTTATATTTGAATACTTTTATAAAATCATTTTACCATTTTTTAAATGTTTTCCATATTACTTGCACAACTTTCTCTTTCAGTTTCAGGCAAAGTTGTTGGGATAATTCGTACATGATTTATGATAAGGACGGAAGGGAGAATTATGAAATAATTAAAGAACCTTATACAAAAGTCAGAATAGATGGTGTTACAAAAAACATTAAAGAAGCCACTGATTTAGGCTACTCCGTTGAAATTTATAATGATGAAAATTCAGATTATGTTATTATTTCACAGACAATTACCAACAAAGGCTCAACGGAAAAGAAAATTGACCTTTGCACAGCATTGAATTTAAAAGATTCTATAGATAATGTTGAAGCATCATCCCTTACAAACTTTGGTTATTATCTTTGGTGGGATCAAACAAATGATCTGACACTAGTTCTGCAAAATCATCCTTGGGTTACAGATATCAGTGCCCAAGACTTTGGAATAGAACCTGAGCCAAGATTCTTCACGAACAATGAGAAAATTTTAGAATACGACTCTGGATTTCCTGAAATTCAATGGATCTCATTCTCATGGCTCAACAAGTATATCCAACCAGGAAAGTCTATCACACTTTCTTACATGTTTTATGAAGAGACATATCAACCGCCATTACTTAAACTTGATAAATCTCTGATTTCAGAAGAAACAGATTCCACTGAAGTAATTCAAGTAAAGGGAAGTTTTTATTTCTTAGTTGAACCATACACGGTAGAAGCAGGTTGGGAAATTCATGATTCAAAAGATAAGATAATCAAATATGGCAGCCTTGGCAAATTTACAGTTTCAGAAAAACAAACAAGTATGGATTTTGATGTGTCAATCACACCACCAACAGAACTTGGAAAGTACACATTATATGTTTACACATATACTAATGGTCTTGGCTCATTGCTTTATGAAGAATTCACAATTACAGTTGTTCCACCAAATTATAGACCAAAGTTATACATTGTTCCATCTGAATACCTATATTACATTCCAGATTCTGAAGTTTCTTTCTTGGCTTCAGTCTACGATCAAGATTCAGGTGATAAACCACTCACAGCAAAGGTTTTCTTCAACAATGCAGAAGTTGCAACACAAGAAGTTGCAAACAGCAAAGATCTTAAGACATTCAAATTCAAAGTTCCAAAAGACACAGCAGCAGGTGAATATGAAGTCAAAGTCACAGCTACAGATGGCAAGAAGATTGGAACAAAGAAGTTCACAATCACAATCAAGAATAACACAGTTCTCACAATCTATTTCGAACCAAAACTTAATGCCACATACAACAAAGGCGACAAGGTCAACTTCACAGCTGTCATCAATGATCCAGATACAAACTTCGATAACAAGTTCACTGTTTCTCTGTTCTACAACGATAAAGTCAAGAAGACGATCACATCAACTAACGATGCAGGATTAGTCAGAGTTCCACTTGATTTCACCATCCCAACAACAGAAACAAACACAACAGCCGAAATCAAGATCGTAGTCACAACACCAACCGAATCCTCTGAAAAATTAACAAATATCAACATCTATCAAGATGTTATCGCAAGTGATTCTGCAACAGGAAAGATTGCTACAAAGGAAGCTAAAAAGAAGACCGCCCTTGTTGCAGTTCTCTGTGTCTTAGCTGTCATTGCTGTTGTTGTTGCGGTAGTCGTTATTATTCTTTGGCTGAGAAAATAAAAAAATTCGGAGAATAAATTAAATTTTATGCTTTAAACACACTTTTTAAAATTACTTATAAATTATCTTTCAACAAGTTGAAATTACTCAATCTAGGATTTTTTTCATGTGAAATTCTTGTTGTGCAACTAAATCTTAATTGCCAACTTGGAATAAAGATCATAGAACAAGACAAGCTTTTTTATAAATGAAGCATCTAATTAATAAACATTACTAAAAATTTTTTTTCAAATGATCCCATAACATAAGTTACCAATTGATGAGTATATAATGCTGCAATGATATCTTCCCATCTCAAAAATAAAGGAGAATGAATAATGACTCCCGTTTGTTACTATAAAAAATCTGCCAGCTAAAAAAACAGTTATTTTGTCTCATTACTCATCAGATTTATTCGTTTTTCTTGACATTATCATCAAGGGTCCATCAATATATAATGACATATGGATGTGTATATACAGGAATTATAGTTCAATTTTCATGGCTAAAAATAAATGACAAGAAGTAGAATGTCAGATTATTTCAAAATTTCTGACATACATAATTAATGTGAAATTTTTAAAATTATATATTGAACTGGAATTTTCGAATGAATAAATAAACTCAATCATTAAATTTGACACAGATAATAAGTAGTCATTCAGATTTGCATCTATTATTTTTAGTTATTAAATCAAATTGAGCATTTTTTATTTGAACTGACATTGGGCAAAGAACTTTCAATTTTATAGCTTTTTTATTTTTTATTTTTTCACAAAAAATTGAGAGGATCATCTTGACATTATACAAGGTGATTATAACTATAGAAAATCAATCATAAGGTATAATAATATGAAATATTATCGATTCATATGTATAGATGACTTTGAAAAACGACTCAAAATGTTTCTGAAATATTTATATTTGAATACTTTTATAAAATCATTTTACCATTTTTTAAATGTTTTCCATATTACTTGCACAACTTTCTCTTTCAGTTTCAGGCAAAGGGGATAATTCGTACATGATTTATGATAAGGACGGAAGGGAGAATTATGAAATAATTAAAGAACCTTATACAAAAGTCAGAATAGATGGTGTTACAAAAAACATTAAAGAAGCCACTGATTTAGGCTACTCCGTTGAAATTTATAATGATGAAAATTCAGATTATGTTATTATTTCACAGACAATTACCAACAAAGGCTCAACGGAAAAGAAAATTGACCTTTGCACAGCATTGAATTTAAAAGATTCTATAGATAATGTTGAAGCATCATCCCTTACAAACTTTGGTTATTATCTTTGGTGGGATCAAACAAATGATCTGACACTAGTTCTGCAAAATCATCCTTGGGTTACAGATATCAGTGCCCAAGACTTTGGAATAGAACCTGAGCCAAGATTCTTCACGAACAATGAGAAAATTTTAGAATACGACTCTGGATTTCCTGAAATTCAATGGATCTCATTCTCATGGCTCAACAAGTATATCCAACCAGGAAAGTCTATCACACTTTCTTACATGTTTTATGAAGAGACATATCAACCGCCATTACTTAAACTTGATAAATCTCTGATTTCAGAAGAAACAGATTCCACTGAAGTAATTCAAGTAAAGGGAAGTTTTTATTTCTTAGTTGAACCATACACGGTAGAAGCAGGTTGGGAAATTCATGATTCAAAAGATAAGATAATCAAATATGGCAGCCTTGGCAAATTTACAGTTTCAGAAAAACAAACAAGTATGGATTTTGATGTGTCAATCACACCACCAACAGAACTTGGAAAGTACACATTATATGTTTACACATATACTAATGGTCTTGGCTCATTGCTTTATGAAGAATTCACAATTACAGTTGTTCCACCAAATTATAGACCAAAGTTATACATTGTTCCATCTGAATACCTATATTACATTCCAGATTCTGAAGTTTCTTTCTTGGCTTCAGTCTACGATCAAGATTCAGGTGATAAACCACTCACAGCAAAGGTTTTCTTCAACAATGCAGAAGTTGCAACACAAGAAGTTGCAAACAGCAAAGATCTTAAGACATTCAAATTCAAAGTTCCAAAAGACACAGCAGCAGGTGAATATGAAGTCAAAGTCACAGCTACAGATGGCAAGAAGATTGGAACAAAGAAGTTCACAATCACAATCAAGAATAACACAGTTCTCACAATCTATTTCGAACCAAAACTTAATGCCACATACAACAAAGGCGACAAGGTCAACTTCACA